AACGAGTCGATTTGCTCGTTGCTACCCTCGCCCCTCGTCTGCCTTTTCGCGGATGCCGTGCCGGTCGTAACAGGCGTACTGCCGCCATGTATCGGGTTGCGTGCAACGGTGGTGCGTTTGTGATAATTGGCAATCGGCCGTTGCCACGACGGCAGCCATCTGTGCTAGACTGTGCGTCGGCTGATCCTTCTGCTGCTGAACGTGGACCTGTGTCGGCTCGTAGGCCTCATAACCTGCGCAGCGTCCGTGTCGATCGTAACTCCGCGCAGTCAAATCGCCGGTTAATGTTCGGCAGCCTAAACATCCGCTCGCTGAACAACAAAGTTGACGAGTTCCTTCGCATCCGCCGCTCGCGCTCTTTGGATGTCGTCTTCTTGACCGAGACCTGGCATGATGCTGACTCGGTTTCCATCGCGCGTCTTCGGGCTGAAGGACTCCAAGTGGCCGAGCGTGCACGGCCTCGCGCGCAGCCCAACACCCTAGTGACGAATCACGGCGGACTATGCAGGAAGCTGACCTTTCAACAGAAGGCAACGCGGTTTTAGACGAAATCGCTCCTGTTTGTCTCAGTTACTGGAACATCACCACCAAATCTTTGCCGTGCTGTAGGAGGGGCCGGGGTGGATGTGGTGTATTTTGATTTCGCGAAAGTGTTAACATAGTTGACCATGGAGTTTTCTTCAGAAAATTAAGACTACCGAGGTTCGATGGTGAATTGTTGACACGGATACAAAGTTTCCTAACAGAAAGGCTATAAGCTGTCGTTGTTGGAGGCTCGAGATCGAGCGAGGCTAGGGCGAAGAGTGGAGTATGACAGGGAACGGTACTCGGCCCGATCCTCTTCCTCATTCGCATCACATGGAAAATGATAACAAGAATGACACCAAACTTCGAAAGCAAGACCTTCAGGTTTGTGACATACCATAACGAGAGAAGAGGGAGACTGCAGGATTCCCCCACTACGTAATAGATCTGCAGTCAGATATCAATTTCGGCCGAAAGAAATCAATTCGTCTCTTGAAAGACCTTCAACAGACGACTGGACATATTTCTGGGCAAAATCTCTCATCAACCGCCTCTGCACCACTACCGACAGCGAGAAGCAAGCAACAGCATCGTGCATCAGCTGGCCATGCGGGGGGTTGATGCGCGATAATCAGAGGCGGTAATCCATCGTGGCCTGGGACTGCTACGTCCTAAACAAATACTATATATAAGGATACTTATTACACACTAGTCTCGCAGCAAAGTTCATTACGGATTGCAGTTTATTAAGTGCGCGGTCGGAAGTCCATAGAGTGTTGCATAACCATAGTCCAATCTGGACAGAACGAGCGCCACCACGAGGGCCTCGAGAAACAGCGATTCTCGCTTCGTATTCATCACAGAGCGCCAAAACAAGCGATGATGGCTTTGCTCACCGCTCACCACTGGACTCGGAACAAATGCTTATAGAAAGGAGTTCCGAGTCCAGCTGAATGCCGAGGTTACGAGCCGAAGACGCAGGCGTGATGAACTCGCTAATTAAGCAGGGTTGGCCTGAAGCTAATGTTGGCGCCGAGCTGTTGCAAACCAGATAAATTCGTTTTTTATGTATTTTTAGACAGTTGAAATGTCCCTCGCAACGCTGAGCGTCAACGTTTCAATGTAAACAACCTTTCCCACGGTCTCGCAATAACGGCCCGCATTCTTAGCATTCTTAACATTTACGCATAATACATGTTCAATATTACCTACTGTCAATATTACCTACTTTATTCAAGCACATATGTACATAATATAATGTACATATACATAAAATAATATGCATTGTAACAACATAGAATATTCGTGTATTATATACTATTTATAGCCACATATATGATCCCAACGTAATAGATTACAGCCGCTCATGTTATTGCTCATTGATTAATGTTAATAAGTCAATTATTTAATTAATTTTTAGATATATTTATTAATAAAAATATGTGTAATATTTTATGTTTTGTGATTATTTGTTATTTGGTTATTATCCTGGTGTATAATCACCAAACTTCACAATAAACAACGACTGTACAACATATATTTGTGCAAAACTCACTGAGATCCTCGTATGTCCCCCCGAGGGCGCTGAGGTCCAGGGGCGCCGCCATGCGGATGTGGAGGACAGCGCCGTGGGCCACTGAGGCGAGGGAGAAGACCCCAGCGGAGGTGCCTACGCACCCGCTGAACTCCTCCAGCCTCACCCTGTCGCCCAGGAGGGAGATGGTGAGGCATGAATATGACAAGCAGTCCCTTGTAACGAACGGAGCAGCAATCCATTATAATTGACCAGCAATCAATTGTAATGGATCAGCAACCCATTGTAATGGACCAGCAATCCATCATAATTGACCAGCAATCAATTGTAATGGACCAGCAATCCAATGTAATGGACCAGCAATCCATTGTAATGGACCAGTTCCTGAGAAGTTCTCATCGGCACCTGCAAGTTCTTATCTTCACCAGCGGGTTCTTGCATGTACCAGCAGGTTTTTATTTATTCTTGCAACTTCTTACCTGCACCTGAATGGTTCCTGCATGTTCCAGCGTGCACGTGCAGGGTTCTTGCATGAACCTGCAGGCTNCGTCATCATGCGGAGGTGCACAACATTAATCGACCAACGATTGCTGGAACCGTCTTAATTTGACCCCAGCTATCGATTTCCAAGCTACCGGATTTGTCTAAAATAAAATTTGAGATTGTTTGCGTAAGGACTTTCTGGCTAGAAATTTTAGTGTTGTATCCTATTTACGTGTATTATGTATTTATGTCCAACCATATTTCACTATTCAATGCTTCTCTTAACTTGAAAATGAATGTTGCTACATTCGAAACGTCGTTAATATAATATTATTTGCTAAATCTGCCTTTTGATCTACCAACGTCATCTAAGAATTGTTCAACTCCTTGAAAATTCAAATGCACTCTCTGGTCATAAATTGTACGCACATATTCTATTTATAGCCACATATATGATCCCAACGTAATACATTACAGCCGCTCATGTTATTGATCATTGATTAATGCTAATAAGTCAATTATTTAATTAAATTTTTGATATATTTATTTTTAAAAATATGTGTAATATTTTATGTTTTATGATTATTTGTTATTTGGTTATTATCCTGGTGAATAATCACCAAACTTTACAATAAACAACGACTGTACAATATATATTTGTGCAAAACTCACTGAAATCTTCGTATGTCCCCCCGAGGGCGCTGAGGTCCAGGGGCGCCGCCATGCGGATGTGGAGGACAGCGCCGTGGGCCACTGAGGCGAGGGAGGAGACCCCAGCGGAGGTGCCTACGCACCCGCTGAACTCCTCCAGCCTCACCCTGTCGCCCAGGAGGGAGATGGTGAGGCATGAATATGACAAGCAGTCCCTTGTAACGAACGGAGCAGCAATCCATTATAATTGACCAGCAATCAATTGTAATGGATCAGCAACCCATTGTAATGGACCAGCAATCCATCATAATTGACCAGCAATCAATTGTAATGGACCAGCAATCCAATGTAATGGACCAGCAATCCATTGTAATGGACCAGTTCCTGAGAAGTTCTCATCGGCACCTGCAAGTTCTTATCTTCACCAGCGGGTTCTTGCATGTACCAGCAGGTTTTTATTTATTCTTGCAACTTCTTACCTGCACCTGAATGGTTCCTGCATGTTCCAGCGTGCACGTGCAGGGTTTTTGCATGAACCTGCAGGCTCTTGCCTGCACTTGCATGGTTCTTAAATGCACCTACAGGATCTTTCATGCACCTACAGGTTCTTACTTGCACCTGCAGTACATGCACATGCGGTGTTCTCCTGCACTTGCATGGTTCTTAAATGCACCTACAGGATCTTTCATGCACCTAAAGGTTCTTACTTGCACCTGCAGTTAAGAGCTGCAGGCTCTTACCTGCACCTGTGAGGTTCTGACATCCACCTACATGTTCTTAAATGCACATGCAGATTCTTATATGCCCCTACAGGTTCTTAAATGCACATACAGATTCTTGAATGCACCTACAGATTCTTAAATGCACCTACAGGTTCTTAAATGCACCTACAGATTCTTACATGCATCTACAAATTCTTACATGCACCTACAGATTCTTACATGCACCTTCAGGTTCTTAAATGCGCCTACAGATCCTTACATGCTCCTACAGGTTCTTAAATGCGCCTACAGNGGCTTACAGCTCATGCCATCAGAGCGGCATGCAGCTCATGCCATCAGAGCGGCTTGCTGCTCATGCCATCAGAGTGGCTTACAGCTCATGCATTCAGAGCGACACGCAGCTCATTCCATCAGAGCGGCTTGTAGCTAATGTCCAGGAGTAGTTTGTTGATAAAAATCATGTGTTTACCAGCAGACCTAGTTTAGCTATGAGTCCACTGAGTCACAGAGGGCTTGCCTCAGACGCTAAATCGACAGCTTATACAGCATATGTGTCACGAGGACGAGAACCCGGTGAACGTAGGTACGAAGTCTATGAATGGGCTGAAAACTTTAGTAAAGCCCCCGCAGAAGCTGATAAGGGCGCACCCTGCGATGTAATTCGCGTTAGAGCTACTCCGATCAAATAGTCGACGTCTTAGCCTTTTACCAATAATGTATCTCTCATATATAACCACCCTCGTATCAAGATAAGTTCTCTAGATAGATGATGTCTTACTTATCCCTCACGCACCTAGTCAACGAACCTTAGTTCTCAAGTCTGGAAACTCATAAAGGTGTCTTACAGACACTTTTACCTTCAGAGCGCTTGCATATCATGCCATCAGAGCGGCATGCAGTTCGTGCCAGCTCATAATAAGTAGGAGGGTAAATACAATAGTAAATAGGAGGGGTAAATATAATAGCAAGCATATCCCAGATGCTCGTTTTTGCGCCTTCAGACTGGATAGGGGGGGTTCGTTGACTTAAGTGCGTGAGGGATAAGTAAGACACCATCTGTCTAGAAAACTCATCTTGATACAGGGTGGTTATATGTGATAGATACTATACAGATAAAGCTAAGACGTCGATCGTGTAGCTCTAACGCGAGTTACATCGCGGCGTGCGTACTTGTCAGCTTTTGAGGGGACCTTACTAGGGTTCCCAACCCATTTAGAATCATGGCTCCCGCCCAATACTGAGGTCCTGGTCGCGTGATCTATTATGCAGCTCACTGCTCTTGGCTAGGAACATTATGAAGCTCGCTGCTCATGGCTGGGAACATCATGCAGCTCACTGCTCATGCCCGGTAACATTATGCAGCTCGCTTCCTATGGCTGAGAACATTATACATCTCGCTGCTTATGGCTGGGAACATTATGCAGCTCAACACTCATGGCTGGAAGCTTCATACTGCTCTCTGCTCAATGCGTGGTGATAAACCAGGTCATCTGACGCATATACTCACCTACTCATACCCTCCTTAGAAACTCCCAGTATGATGTGAAGGAGGTCGGCGCTCCCTCCAATGATGCACTGAACGATGTAATGACCAGCAAACATTTCCTGCTCACTCTTATGCTTGAATTGATAGCTTGAATTCTGGTTCAAATCTAGAGGTTTGTGATCCTTCAGCAACACTGAGAGTACTACTGCGGGATCGAACTTGTCTTCACCCTTCATTTTACCTTGACATCTCCGCTTAATGGTTCGCAACTCTGCCTCTGAGATAGTCACGACGTTGTCACGGAGCAACTCCAGCGCTTCAGCACCGATCAGAGCGAACACGTCGTCCACCAGGACGTCCAAATCCTCATCAATCGAGCCCGCTAGTTTGGCACTGATGAGCTTCCTGTACAGTCGTAGCTTGACTGGCGCCACGTCCCCGGGCGTTCGCCACGAGGATATTTCCTCAGCGAAGTGCTTATGCATCTCACAGAAATGAACCAAGTTGATGGGTTCCGTGAACAGACTTCTGACGTCTTCACTGAGCGACTCGAAGCTCCGTGTTATCGCCCCAACCTGAGCGCCGCCGCACATGGACATTTCATACCGCCTCAAGAATGTAAGTTGGTCGGCAAGTTTCGTGAGCGATAGGATCTCGTACTGAGTAAAACTGACATCGTAGGGCTTCAGCAGAGGTGCCAGCTCCTCCTTCACGGCATGAGGACGAGTCGTGATCAACACACGACAATTTCGGCGCCATGTTTTCTCGATAATCTCAATAACGACTTTTCTGGAACTTTCGTTGACTTCGTCAAAGCCATCTATGATGAATAAGACATCGAGGCGCAGGAGAGCCATGAGGACATTTTCTTTCGATAGTTCTTTGCAAAGGTCTTCATAGTGCTGCTGGATGACGTCACTCAGTGTTGGTGTAGTGCGATCCCTGCACTGGAAGAAGATGAGCTGGTTAAACGACCTCAAGTAATCAGGAGCTGTTTCTTGAGTGTTGAAGAATTGCAGCACAATGTTTTTGACGAGGGTTGTCTTACCGGCGCCGGCGATGCCCGATACCACCATGACCTTCTCATGAGCCTCAAATATTTCGGTGTATGAAACAGTTTTCCCTCTGCCGGTTTCTTGCACATTCACGTCGAGGGCGTGAAATACGGTCTGACGTTGCACAGTATCCTCGTTCAGTGAAAGTTTTTCATATTCAAGCTTGGCCTCCCAGAGTAGTCCTACAGCCTGCTTCCCGCTAGATGCCAGCCTCGTACACCAGAAATAAATGCTTTGGCTGTCCATTCTCTTCACTATTTCGATTTCGTTGTTAAGGCTTTGTACCTCAGCATCAACATCTGCCTGTGAAAGAGCATAGAACCTCCCCGCTTCCCGCACCAGCTCCACCAGCACTGTTGTCAACTCAGTGAATTTCTGCGCGTCGACTGCGTTGTACAAGTCGTGCATGATGTCATTGCGCAGGTCCTTGACGGCGCGCAACTTGACGATCAGCGCTGCATGCTCCCTGACGATGTCGCCCTTGCCGAGATCGAACAATTTTGTTAGGAGAAGGAAGAGCGGTGTGACATCTAACGAGGTGGGGGTTTTAGAAGCTTCCAGAATTTTCCAGGAAAATCCCATTAGATTTTTCCACTCTCCGTTGCTGTAAGCACTTCCACGCCTCCGTTCCATCAATTGCCTGTATGTCTCGTTGCTTTGTTTGTCGTCACACTCCTTGTCTAGCGTGGACCGCATAACCCTGGGACTCAAGTCCAAGATACCGACAATGTTGCGGTAAATTCTAATGATTGGGTCGTCCACAGTGACAGCTGGTGAAGCAGCAGCAGGGCCGGCAATCGAGCCTGTGCCTGCCATCTTGCGGGATCTGTTGAGGCGAGAAATTCTTTGTGAATATTAATGCAAAACTCATGCAAATATTAGCCATATCAGCTTGGTTGAAATATTACATCATACCCAAAATTCCTCTGAATTTTGACTAATATTGATTCTTTACGTAAGTAAATGACTTGTAGAATGCATATAAGAGATAAATAGATAATCTTATTAGGAGTAAATATTTGAACTAATCACCTGGAAAATGAAATATGTAGAGATAAATACTTCGGATAATTGAATAATTGAACGCAATTTTGGTCAGAAACGTAATATCGTGCAAATTTTTAACCGAAAATAGAAATCCGAAATGCAGTAATTCCAAGGGGAGCAGTGCTGTAATAAAGCAGGCATAAAGGAAGGCAACTAGCGGTCCAGGGTGATAGGTGTTGTCATAAGCAGGCATTAATGAAGCCACTATCAATCCAAGGTGAGCTGGGCTGTAATAAATCAGACGTTAAAGAAGGCAACTCGCAATCCAGAGTGAGAAGTACTGCAATAAAGCAGGCATCATAAAAGGCTCCTAGCATTTCAGGGTGAGAAGTGTCGTAATAAAGAAGACAACTAGCAGTCCAGGGTAAGAAGTGCTGTAATGAAGAAGGCATTAAGGAAGGCTACCACCAGTCCATGGGGAGAAGTGCAGTAATAAAGAAAGCATTAAAGGAGGTGCTAGCAGTCCAGGGGGAGAAGTGCTCTTTTAAAGCAGTCACTAAATAGGGCCACTAACAGTCCAGGGTGAGAAGTGCATTGATAGAGCAGGCATAAAAAAAGGCCACCAGCAGAATAAGGGGAGAAGTCCTGTCATAAAGCAGTCATGAAAGAAGGCTGCTAGCCGTCCAGGAGGAGAAATGCTGTAATGAAGCAGTCATGAAAAAAGGCTACTAGCAGTCCAGGGTAAGAAGGGCTGCAATAAAGCAGTCATAAAAGAAGGCTACATGTAGTCCAGGATGAGAAGTGCTGTAATAAAGCAGTGTTAAAAGAAGGCTACTAGGGGTACGCAGCCGTGCACCATCATATTTGTGCACCAATCCGCTCTGAAAGGAACGCCTAGCATATTTCCGGACTACCACCAATCAGCCGTGGATTAAGCTATCCGACGGTAACTAGCCCGTGACATCATCTTGCTTTAAATATTAGGAACTTTACGCCACCACATTCTGAAGCGAATAGCCCAGAGAATAATGGCTGTCCACCACTGTACGTTGCATCGAATCGACACTTCATACCCTGACTTTAGCTCGAACTGTAACTTGCGGAAACGGACTGCGACCAACCAGCCCAGCCCGCCAGTGGAACTGCATGCATCATGCCGTGCACCACCAGATCGTCACCTTTGGCTCACAACATTGGGGTTAGGTTTCAGAAATCATAGTTCTGTTCCAAAATCTATCGTCCTTCGACGAGCGACTTCCACAGCTTCGCTAAATTACGTAACTTTTAGCTCACAGCAGCTGAGGTTAGGTTTCAGATAGAAATGATGTTATACAGCAAATGATAGATATAAATGCTGTATTAAAGCTGGCAGTATATCAGGCTACTAGCAATCCATTCAGAGAAGCTCTGTTATAAAGCTGGAATTGGAGAAGGCTATTTGCCGTCCAGAGGAGAAGCGTTTGTTATACAGCAGGTATTGAAAAAGGTTTGCAGCAGTCTAGGGTAAAAAGTGCTTCTCTTCCATATCATCGTTAAAAAAATTAATCCGGCATCTAATTCAACCATGTGAGCGATATATTGTTATTAAATTCAAATGGTAAAGAATAAGCATCCATCAGACGGAGAAAATTGGAGAAAATAAAACTCGTTCGTACAACAGTGCTGAGCAGTGCAGATAACGGCTGCGAGGACAGCAAATAATAACGGCTGTGAGGACAGCAAACGGCTGTGAGGACAGCAAATAAGCAGTGCAGATAACGGCTGTGAGGACAGCAGATAACGGCTATCTTATCAAAATTTTGATTCCTGTCAGCCGCTGGCTCAAGGACGTCCCAAGCTCGCCTAGCGGTGTAAATTAGCAGCTCTATGTCCGCTTTAGGTTCTGGTTGTACGAAGGAAATAAGCACCTGATTACGATCTGGTCTATTCCTTAGGTACGAGTTCTCTGCACATAATATCTGGATTATGGACGATACTGGAACGAAGGTTTTCCTGATCAAGTATATACGTATATTTTTTCTATTCAATGATACGTTTTTTCATGGCAAGGATGAATTTTTTATGGCAAGGATATATTTTTTAAGTCAAGGATATAAATTTTTATGTCTATTTTTTCACGTCAGTGATAGATTTTTTAAGCCATGAATATATTATTTTTAAAGTTAAGCATTCGATTTCTTAGTTGTTAGTAAATGAAGGAATGTAATATTTTTTATTAAATTTTCTTATTTTGAACTGTAAAGCGCTTTTTTATCATTTGCAAAATGAATGCAATTGGGTAAAGGGAGCAGATGTGGATGCCTTGCCCTAAGCCCATGGGCCCATTGCCCCAGGGGTGGGGCAATGGTCCCGTTGACGATGATCGTTGGTAGCAAAACGAAGTTTGGGACAGGATTAGCAGTCCGAACGCAGTTAGTCTGTCTTGTGAGAGCAGATCCCGACACCTAACCATGATGAATTAAAAGCGTAATATCCATTAGTTCCGGACAATGATTCAAACATCTCACAATGTTTCGAACATCTCACAATGATTCAAACATCTCACAATGATTCAAACATCTCGCAATGATTCAAACATCTCACAATGTTTCAAACATCACACATTGATTCGAACATCTCGCAATTATTCAAACATCTCAATGTGATTTCAATATCTCACAATGATTCGAACATCTCACAAAGATTCAAACCTTTCACAATGATTTAAACATCTTACAGTGATTTAAACATCTTAAAATGATTCAAACAACTCACAATGATTCCAACATCTCACAATGATTCGAACCTCTCACAATGATTTAAACATCTCACAATTATTCAAACATCTCACAGTGATTCAAACATCTCACAATGATTCAAACATCTCATAATGATTCAAACGTCTCACAATTATTTAAACATCTCACAGTGATTCAAACATCTCACAATGCCGCAAGGCTCGGTGCTTTGACCGATCCTCTTCCTCATCCACATCGCCGATATCGATTCGGAACTTACACACGCATCTACATTGTCATTTGCGGACGATACAAGAGTGCTGATGATGACCACAGAGGACCTAGCTTGCGAGAGGTTACAGGACGACTTGTCGACACTCTATGATTGGGCCCTAGTGAATAATATGCAATCCAACGGCACCAAGTTCGAAGTAAGGAGATGCTGAGTTGGCACAAAGACTGGGATGCCACATCGCTACTTGGCTTCGGATGGCACAGAAATTGAAGAGAAGCAACTTGATCGAGATCGCGGAGTGTTGATGTGTACCGAAGCCACGTTCGATGACCACATCAATGAAATAGTTGCGCGAGGGGGAGAAAGGATGGGGTGGATCTGGCAGACATTTCGAACGAGAGAAGCAGCACCAATGATTACACTCATCAGAGCCCCAGTGCTCCCCAATTTTAGATACTGCTGTCAGCTTTGGGCACCGCTCAAGACGTGTGCGGTGCGGAAACTGGATGCAGTGCAGCGAAACTTCACGTGCAGGATCAACGGCATGAGGGAGCTGCAACTGAACTACTACTGGGAAAGGCTGAAACACCTGGAACTGTACTCACTGGAGAGGAGAAGAGAAAGGTGTACCATACTGTACACTTGAGAGATGATAGCCAGACTGGCTCCCAATTTTGAATGTGATACCTCCAAAATTGTGACGTATTACAAAAGTTAGGGAACTGCAGGATCTCCCCATTCAAAACCGTGCTACTGCCAGAGTACAGACTCTTCGTGATGGATCACTGTCCGTGGTAGGACCAAAGCTGTTTAACGCCTTAACCAAGGTATTGAGAGGAGGGGAATTTGCCCTCACGACTTTCAAGAGACAACTGGATAAGTTTCTGAAGAAGATCCCGGTTTATCTTATCCAGTTATGGAAAACTACCCTCAGCAAGTGACAAGCAACAGCATCTTGCATCAGCTGGCACAAAGAAGGGCAAATAGACGGAACACGTCCAACGTGTTGATTGTCACATTTCAATGATTCAACTATCTCACAATGATTCAAACTTCTCACAGTGATTTAAACATCCCACAGTAATTCAAAATTCTCACAACGATTGTCACATTTCACAGTGATTCAAACATCTTTCAGTGATTTTAATATCTCACAGTAAGTCAAACACCTCACAGTGATTCAAACAACTCACAATGATTCAAACATCTCACAATGATTCAAACATCTCACAATGATTCAAACATTTCACAATGATTCACACATCTGACAGTGATTCAAACATCTCACGATGATTCAAACATCTCACAATGATTCAAACATCTCACGATGATTCAAACATCTCACGATGATTCAAACATCTCACAATGATTCAAACATCTCACGAAGATTCAAACATCTCACAATGTTTCAAACATCTCACAATGATTCAAACATCTCACAATGATTCAAACATCTCACAATGATTCAAACATCTCACNAACATCTCACCATGACCCAAACATCTCACCATGACCCAAACATCTCACCATGACCCAAACATCTCACCATGACCCAAACATCTCACCATGACCCAAACATCTCACCATGACCCAAACATCTCACCATGACCCAAACATCTCACCATGACCCAAACATCTCACCATGACCCAAACATCTCACCATGACCCAAACATCTCACCATGACCCAAACATCTCACCATGACCCAAACATCTCACCATGACCCAAACATCTCACCATGACCCAAACATCTCACCATGACCCAAACATCTCACCATGACCCAAACATCTCACCATGACTCAAACATCTCACCATGACCCAAACATCTCACCATGACCCAAACATCTCACCATGACCCAAACATCTCACCATGACTCAAACATCTCATCATGACCCAAACATCTCACCATGACCCAAACATCTCACCATGACTCAAACATCTCATCATGACCCAAACATCTCACCATGACCCAAACATATCACCTTGACCCAAACATCTCACAATGATTCAAACATTTCACGATGATTCAAGCAACTCACAATGATTCAAACATCTCACAATGATTCAAACATCTCACAATGGTTCAAGCATCTCAGAATGATTCAAACATCTCACAATGATTCAAACATCTCACAATGATTCAAACATCTCACAATGATTCAAACATCTCACGATGATTCAAACCTCTCACAGTAATTCAAACAGATGTTAGAGTCATTGTGAGATGCCTGGGTTTCTCGTCTTCTCTTTAATTTTGGTCACAACGAACAAAAAATATTGTTTTAAATGAGTTTTGGAGACTTTCTCGTTCATCTCAATGACCCTTTCTTCTTATCACCTGTGAACAATTTAAGACCATGTACGATACAAAAATATGAATAATCGCATAATCCCTTTAACTCTGTAGCATATGCAACGCAGTAGCTATGCAAGTGCACCGTCTTTGCCGATATATAAAAAAACGTGATGTTAACAGCAAGTGTAATTTATACCTTCTCTGAAGGCGGAACCTCCATCACTTCTTCTAACATGCTCTGGTTCGAAGCGTGTTTGTAGTATCTAGCTGAATCCTCACGTTGATGAGGAGTGCCTGCGCCATCTACAGCTTTCACAACTGCTGCTGCGGCTTCAGCACGCGCGGCACACTTGCTTCTTTCAACGAGTGTGAGTTAAAGTTATGTAGTTGCTTCCGTTACTCTACGATGACGACCCCCCGTGGTCACTAACTGTTCTTCATAGTTTGGTGCTCGCTCTTAGACTTGGACTTTCAGCCTCCTACCCATTTGGATATGCAGCCTTCCAACCGTGAGTGCTTGTCACAAGGAACTAAAGTGACCCTACTATTTGGCCTCTATTTTTTACCAGTTATTTCTACACACGACTGCACCCTTATCAAATAGCCGTGTTTTTGCTCCCCTCCCTCCATTTCCATTCTCTCTCGTTCCCTCCCAACGACTTGCACCAGATGGCGTGCTCCAGAGAGATGGGGGCGCCAACCCCTCATAATGATCTCGTTTGTTGCCATTATCATCATCGCATCACTCACCCTCGATACAATATTTAGGACCCTGCATAAATTTATAATGATTAATATTGAGGACCCTGCATATACATAAATTAACTTAGTATTAGATGCAGAATTAGCTTGCTTGAACTAGGGCGGTTAGTGTTTGCGAACTACCAGAGTCATCTGAACTTTGAGAAAGTTTCAGAGTCATTTTCCGTTTCAAAAATTTCGTATTATATCCAATTTACGGGTACTATGTACCCGTATGTACCTATGTCCGCCAAAATTAAATTGTTTAATGCTTTTTGTAACTTAAAAATTAATGTTGATACCTTCGGAACGTCGTTAAATATGTTATACGTTCCTGGTGAAAAAAATTATCCTGCCGCATGAGGCAAGCTCGTAATCAGACCAGGTCTTACAGCATTAAAATCGAACAAATTCATCTCAAGATCCGCGATGAATATACTAGGTCATCATTACTTTAAAATTAATTGATAGTCATCAAGCATTTACGCTTTTAAAGAATTGTTTCGCTCTACCTAAACTCCAATACGTCCTACGTGCGTCTCCTGCTTATACGCGGGTAGGTGATTTGGAGCGGTTCGATGAAGTGTTGGTTTCTGCCCTCTCGACCATAACCAATCTCAGCTTCGAGCGCGAATCTCTTGAACAAGCTGTGTTACCGGTCCGGCTGGGAGGTCTGGGTATCCGTATGTCAAAGGACATCGCGCTCCCTGCGTTCATATCGTCACTCCACTCCATCCGTGGCCTAGTTGATGCCGTTTTACATAATGTACGACTGGCCGAGGACGACAGTTCGCAGATGGCGGTGGATGAGTGGCGCAATGGGAACGCAGGTATTGCTTTGCCCGAGGACGCGAGTTTGGGCCGGCAGAGGACTTGGGATGGGCCTGTGGTCGCGGCCTCCGCAGCGCGGCTTTTGGAAGCGGCGGACCAAATATCCAGGGCTCGTCTACTTGCAGCGGCGAAGAGGGAGAGAGAGTGGCTTGTGGCTTCACGCTATTCCTTCGGATGCTCTTGGAACACTTCTAGATCGCGACTCCTTCCGCGTCTCAATTGCTCTTCGAGTTGGCGCAAATGTATGCGAACCCCACACTTATCGGTGCGGAAAGCGGATGGATGCACGAGGGCTGCATGGCCTTTCTTGTAAGTACAGCGCTGGGCGACATCCAAGACACTCGGCTCTGAACGATGTGGTCAGGAGGTCTCTTCAGAGCGCTGGCGTTCCTTCATGCCTTGAACCCGTTGGAGTGGACAGAGGGGATGGTAAGAGACCAGATGGCTTAACGGTTTTCCCGTTTTGTAATGGGAGGTGTTTGTGCTGGGATGCAACCTGCGTCGACACTTTTGCTGAGTCGCACGTCAATAAATGAATATTGATTATTCACAACGTCGTATTCCAGTAAATTTCATTTGATAACCTTCTCTTTGATCTCCCAGCACCCGCAAGAAATTTTGTGCGGCGTACTGAAAAAACAATAAGAAAATTGTTAACAGAAAGCATGCTCTGGTCTTCAATCAAACCTGTATGAAACTCTTGCCTAAGTACACAAATATCACATACACAAGGAACAAAAACTCAGAATTCAGACTGATGTTAAAAGATACCCGAGGCTTGCCGAGCGTATCAATCGTAAAGAACTTCAGGCTGAGCAGTACAACACTCCCCACTTGCGCGCCCCACGACACGATCGACCGTTCACCACGAGCGAGCTGAGCGTTGTGCATGGACAGAGCCTTCGTTATAAGTGCGACATATTGACGTACAAATTCCGCTTGGTGTTCGGTTGCCTGCCAACCGAACGCAAACAACTTCTTGACGGCGACGCTATTGATCGTTTGACCGACCTTGCGTGACTAACACATCGGCTTCGGTGGAACGCCTGATACACGTCAGTAGCTAATCCATGTCTGATTGAAATTGAATGCAATCGAGTATCTGCCAAGAATTTCAACAACGAATCTAACAAAATTGGATTGGATCTGACTGAAATTGGTTACTTAGGATTAAAATATCGGTAATGCTGGATAACACTTTTGATGGATCGTCTGGATACCTCAAATTAAAAATACATGATTGTTGTGTTCTTATTATCCGGTTCAATATTACCAGTTTCGCCATCCGGACCACTTGACTATGGTTAAGAGAATGATTATTTAGCTCTGGTAGAGTACGAAGACCGGATTATCGTCATAAGAATCTCAAGCAAACTGTCGTAGTATTGGCAATCATACATAAGGTGAAAATTTCAACCGAAACTTGACCTTAGCGCAATAGCCCTTAGTGCAATAAACTTTTTCATTAATTTTATGAACAAACCTCAAAGCTTAGATTTTTACTTGGTTTTTGATGTTCATATAATCAGCATCAAAATCATGCTGACCACTCTCAACATTGCCTACCATGACACCCACACACGTTCCTTTTTATTGATGAATGTCTGCGTTGATTTGCGTTGCTTTGAGTGTACAACAGTTGAATGACTGCGTTGATTTGCGTTGTTTTGAGTGTACAACAGTTGAATGCCTGCGTTGATTTGCGTTGCTCTGAGTGTACAACAGTTGAATGTCTGCGTTGCTTTGAGTGTACAACAGTTGAATGTATGCGTTGATTTGCGTTGTTTTGAGTGTACCACAGTTGAATGTCTGCGTTGATTTACGCTGCTCTGAGTGTACAACAGTTGAATGTCCGCGTTGATTTACGCTGCTCTGAGTGTACAACATTTGAATGTCTGCGTTGCTTTGAGTGTACAACAGTTGAATGTCTGCGTAGATTTGAGTTGACACTATATTGACACTATAAATCTATCTTGAGTATTATAACACACCTTGACACTGTGTGTTCAAATGCGGGACTGACTAGGACGGACCATAACCTACAAATCTAACTTCCGCATTTTTAAACTGAAAACTAAAATTACAAAAATGCAAAATTATAAAATAATAAATTCTAATTCCCTAACACCGGGCTGAGGTCATCGAGTTTAATATTCATGAAATGAGTTGAACTTCCTTAAATTCTCCATAGGAAAACATTGTGTGGATTTTTCTATTGATTGAGCTTGTCAGTAATGTGTTATTTGATGACTTAACTTTTTAGTTAATGGAACGTGTCACTAATGTGTCATTAGTGTCGGTAAACGGAGCTACTTGAGCCTGACTCGTTTGCTCACTTATGTTCTAATTTATGTTATTGAAACTTTTCCGTTGTATTGTCTATTTCTTCTCATAGATATTCTTCATTATGTAACTTCTACAAAATGATGTAATCCAGGGGCTCTGAGCACACATACAGAACAATAAGCGAGAGACTTGTTCAAATAATGACGCACTTTTTGCCCATGTGTGGGTCATATTGACCCAGTTGAGACCAGCAAAAGTGCGTATCAGTGCTACGTCCGCTTACTGTTCATCCTACTGGGCCTATACTTTCAAAAAATGTTATTAGATCGTAAGTTCATCAGCCAATCATTGACGGGCATTCAAGCAAAATCCACCAATCATAGACAAGAAAATAGGGTGTACGTACTTACGTTCACTTAGCGAGTTTTGAAAGTATGGCCCCTGGTGAGGAAGTGTGTCACTATTTGGACAAAATGAGCCCTTCATTTCTCTGCGCACAAGTTATAGCATTTTGATGGCGGCGTGTAACATCAAGACGAGGAATTGTTTGTTAATATCTTCGAACAGTGACGAGACTAATATGTATATTTCTGTATTATTATATACGCATTATGTATATTCTATGTATGATGTGTTAGGAGTTGTTCACTTCAAACAAGACATCTTGTTTTACCTCGCCTCGCCTTGTATAGTTTATCATACATAGTCAGCAGTTATTGCTGTCTACATCATTGAATTATTAAGGAGTCTGTTAAGGTGAAGAATCGAAAATTTTTGCTTTTCCATTTTCTTGGCTCATTTGTAGCTGCTGAAGAGGCGCGTCTAACGCAGCAAACCGTATGTCAGTGCGTGCTCTATTTTTTGCGAAAGGCAATTTCAAAAATATATAGAATGAACAGTTAACAATATGTACACAGATTTATTTAAAGTAAATCTGTATTCATAGATCACTATTCTTGTTAATTGCAAAGTGTTTGCACTCGTGTGAAAGCTACGAAAAAACGCGATCAACAAAGCTACTACCATGGATATGCATGCAATAATTTTTGCATTAGGCTGTTTGAACTTTTATAAAATGACTATTTTATAACAATATTTACGAATTTTCATTTGAAAAATGGCATTTATATATCATTATTTGCGTTAATTGCAAAGTGTTTGCACTCGTTTGAAAGCTACAGACAAGACGCGTTCAACAAAGCTACTACCATAGATATACATGCTATAATTTTTTAGTAATGCAGTTTAAATTCATATAAAATTAATATTATATATATATATAAAGTCCCATTTATAGTTTATTATTCACGTTAAACTGGACAAGAATAAGTCTGGAGACGCGCGCTGGTACCCTAAATGCAAATAATTGGCAATGGGAAAGCTTAAGCTACAATATCAATAATTTTTTTGCCACATTCTAATTTTTTCGATAAATTTTACTTTATTTGGCTCCCCTGAACAATTTAAATATCCAAAAAACACCACCTTAAAAACTTAATAACTCCTACTGTATTTAAGCTACAGCAATGAAAGACATACCATTCGAATTTTTGGATTTTTGCATGGTTTGACTTATATATGTGGGGGAGAAGGAAAAACGGGGAAAAATGGAAAAACGCGCATAAAAGAAAAACGATGGGTTGGGTGGGCTGCTCAACACATCAGAGAGCTTGGGTGGGCTGCTCAACACATCAGAGAGCTTGGATGGGCTGCTCAACACATCAGAGAGGTTGGGTGGGCTGCTCAACACATCAGAGAGCTTGGGTGGGCTGCTCAACACATCAGCTGTCTCTTATACACATCTAGATGTGTATAAGAGACAGCCGCATGAGCGGCTGTTGCGTAAAGTGAAGTCCTTGGGGATTGAGGGAAACGTACTCCAATGGATCAGAGATTTTCTAGTAGGTAGACGACAACGTGTCAGTATTAACGGAACAGTGTCAGACTGGGCATCAGTGCGCAGTGGCGTGCCCCCAGCAAGCGTTCTTGGGCCAATTTTGTTCGTTGCTTATATAAGCGAAGTGCCAGAAGAAGTGTCAAGCGTGTGCTCCATGTATGACGATGACACAAAAGTATATAATGCGCTGAAAGATGCGCCAAATAAATTTGAATTGCTAGATGATCATGACAGTTTATGTAACCGGGCTGATTCGTGGCAGCTACGTTTTAATGCAAAAAAGTGTAAAGTACTTTATCTAGGGAAGAACAATGAACGGCAAGATTGCAGTATGAGAAGACATGGTTGCAGCGAGAGAGTAATAATTGAAAAGCCTAGTGTGGAGATAGATTTGGGAGTATATGTCGACAAGGAGCTGAGATTTTCTAAGTGCATTGAATCGCAAGCTAATAAATCCTACAAACTTAAACTTCTTGGACTGATCAAACGCTCTTACGAGTTCCTAGATGCAGAAACGATGAAGCTGTTATTTGGTTGCAGTCGTGCTCCCAAACCTAGGGTTTGGAAACGTTGTGTGGTCACCGAAACTTGAAAAAGACAGCAATTTAGTAGAGAGTGTTCAAAGACGTGCAACAAGGCTACTTCCAGGTTTGAAGGGCAAGTCCCATGAAGAAAGATTAAATATTATGAAGCTTCCAAGCCTCTGTTATCGACGTCTGCGTGGGGACCTCATTGAAGTATGCAAATATACAAAAGGTTTGTACAAGGTCCCACAAGGATTACTAGAATCTGAACCAAGAACCAACACCAGGGGCCACGGCTATAAACTAAAAATACTGCGTTGTAACACATCCACACTGAAACAAATCCGTGCGTTAGCTGCAGACATCTCCACTAGCTAAAACGCTCAATATAGCTAAACGAATCATTCCGAAACTTCGTTCGCTGTTTTCTCAACAGTTCGTTCGCCGTTTTCTCTAATTTTCGCTCAGCCACATACAGCCACTGCTGCAAGGCTGATGACATCATGACAGGACCAATAAGGGAAGCCGAAAATTTACATACAAGTTCGAATTTGAAAGTTAACAAAAATTGATAATAGCTCAAATCAACTTAATAATAGTGATAATATAACTAGTTGAATATATCATGCAATAGTGATTAAACACACGTACGACATTCACATGCTTCATAGTTTTCATCGTTGGTGTTTTGTTGCCTCGAATACAGAGGCGGTTTTGAAGTCATATTGGTTATGAAACATACCGCAGTTCGATTACAGTCTGTGTGACTGGTGAGCCAGGTAGAAGATCATCGACAGTTAATTCAAACTTATTCATTATGTATGAATGTTTTATATAACGTATATAAAAAGTGTGACAAAAGATTAACCTGGAGCTTATATCATAAGCAGGATTTTAGCAAAATAAGTTACATAACAATTCTATTTCTACCTATCCCAAATAAAGTTAAGTATTAATTATTGGCGGTGCGAGACACCAACACCTCGTTCACCGTCAATCAATTTTTCATGCTACCAGTAATGCAACCCTGCGATAGCACGCGACCTGCAAGTTGTGACGGTAGATGATGGAGATTCTAAACTTTCCACGAGTTTAATTATTCTTCTCGAAAGAATAACAGAAATAAATGATATCTAGAAAAATGTAGGCACATGAGTGCATTTT